GCGCCAATGCTAGTAAGGTTCAAATCTTACCGATTTGTAGACAATCAAGAGACTTATGACAGCCAAAAACAGAACAGCTACAGCACAGGTGAAGTAGGCAATACCAGCTGTCTGAACAGAATCTGTGGCTGTAACGCAAAAAAAAAAGAAACGAGTCTTTCATCTGAGGACTGGGGAAAACCTACAGAACATTGAGCTCTCAACTATGACCTTATACATGTACAGGTACTGTATGACGTCAATGAAGACAAAGAATATCAAGCAATCAATGAACTCCACTGTCAAACATGTTGAATGCCCAGATTATATAGCTTTGAGTGTATTTCAATGAGAATTGGGTTCTGGCAACTAAGCGGTTTGTGTATACAATCTTGTGTAGATAACTGGTGTGTCCCTTGTACAAGTTTCACTTTCACAAAATCAGCTCTGAGTGGAAGAAACAGAGGGCACATTTTTACATGGAAAGGTCGGTCCTTTAACCCCTTAAAGAGCAACTCAATGGAAAACATGTTTTCTCTGATTTTATCTGTTCAAATAAATGTGGAAGCATCCAAGACTGTGGATATTAACTATTCCTGCAAGGGATTGAGTTTGGATGTTTACAGGTGAACAGTACAAGACTTTGGATAGTACCGGGATAACTGATCAAAACAGCCAGTTGAGAACCAATAAAGTGTACATAAGAATGATTGAGAAACAAGTTACACCTGAACATTACCGAATCAATTTTTCTTCAAGCTAAATTTGATTGTTCAATCACAAACTGACTAAAAGTGAGCTAAGTCGGTTTTCCCCGGATACAACAATTAGGTTGCACAAGTATATGTACTTACTCGCTAATGTGGTAATGCTGACCACTGCTACAAATGTACCACCAAGACCCTACAGATAGCAAGGAGACAAATGACTGGAGTAATGAAATCACAAACATCACTTGGATCTCTTGGCATTGTACCGACAGCATTGAACTTGTAGCACTTCAACAAACAAAAAGAGGACTATGATTTGACGGACTGCAGGATGGTCCAATAGGAACTTTCAATACACTGTGTGAATGTTCCAACCTTTAATATAAAACCTCTTCCATCAGGGTTAAGGCCAGCAGGCTCACCATCATTCTTTTCAGTCAATTCCCTATTCGATGTGCTTCAGCTTAATCAAGAGGCTGCTTTTCATGGTATGTTTATGTTAATTTTCAGCTCAGATTTAATAAACATTAAAAAGAAAAAATGGTCCATCCTGAGATTGCCTAAAAGCCTTTTTGTGCATCTTCCAATGTATGTCATCTGTTTCTTTCAACTTAAAAAGTAGAAAAAGGTTCAATTTGTGGTCATCCCATATCTTTTTTTATGAGTAGATATCGTGGGTTTTAAGAAATTTCTGGCTATACTCTTGCACCTTCTGAAAGGAAGCATTAATTTTCACAAAGTGGCGGTTAATTAACAATTGACTAAAATCTTTCCATCAAAGAATTGGCAATTGATGAATAAAGTTATAAGCAGTCTGGAGTATAACCCTACAGGTATTTGTACGGGTTATTAAATCACAGATATCATCCAATCTGACCAATCGCAAGGCCTGTTCGAGCAGCCTGCAAAGGATTGTGTGTGTTTCCATTGTAAGGGGTGCTTTTCTTCAACAGAATATATACCCGTAGAACAAAAAACACTGACTGAAAAGCTCCTTTTGCAAAAATCTGATTGGCTGTGCAACAAGAAAACCATTAAAGCATCATCTAAATGTTTCGGGTCTCTCCCGATACAATTTAAATTTCATCATTGCAAGTTGAGATATTTAACATTGAAATTGGATACAAATTGCTGTATCAGCCTAGGGGTACAGGGAACGGTCACTAAGCCATTATGTGATACCGGATCTACTCCAGACTGATGAGGCCCCCTTCAAATGTCAAACCTCTGTCGTATCTAATTCAATTAACGGCACAAAATTTGAACGAGACACAGCAGAAATTGGACGTTTGAAGCAACTGCTGACTTTCTGCTGGAAGTTGGACAGGTCTTGCTGCTTTTAATGGCAGAAGAACAGCCCAGCTGACACTGCCCAATTTCTACTGCGTCTAATTCAATTTGCAAGTCCCAGTTCCAGATTGCAGTGGTACTTTTTAAAATGTGCATGCGCTTGCAACAGTTCTATTCGGTTTGGTTGTGAAATAAAATGGTGGCACCCATCCACATATCATTGAGTAACGAGGACCCTCTGTCTAAAGATGTTATTGATAAACAGAAATACATGTATGAGGAAACCGAGTTCCATCATATGTGACATTATTCTCTTTCATGCCCCATATTTCTGAAAATGGATTCACAAGCTTTTTCAAACAAACTTTACAAACAATTGGTCATTTTATGCAACCACAATAGTATAATCTCATCTAGAGAGTCTTTATATAGAGACATACATGCACATATATGGCAGGTTAATCAAAATATGGACCATTAGATAATGTTCAACTTTGGGGTTCATTTTTCTTGAAGAGAACAGCAGTGAAATGTAATGAGGGAAGTCACGGTTCACATCTGGAACAATGATGACTGGTCCTTTCAACTTACATGTAATTGAAGTTAATTAATTAAAGTCTTGAACGTCAGCATTTTTGACGGATGTGAACAACCTGTTGAAAACCTAGCCGATTAGAGTTTACTGAGGAGTGATAATCCCTGTAGTTATTTTACACAGATATGTGTGTGGTGACAGGAGATAATATTTACACATATTAAAACCGTCATCACAAAATAAAAAAATACCTCTCACAGTTAATTGGGACCCGAAGTCAGCAGTCGTGAATGTGTCAAAAAAAATCAATGTACGACAAAAGCTTTAAAAAAGAGTTCAAAAAAGCACCCCAAACCACCATCATTTTATGACTGAACTGATCAGATTTTCTTCAAGTATGTTTCTGAAAACTCCAGTCCAAAATACCGATAGTGGCAATTTTGCAGCTTCCGTCATTATCTCATGATGCCATTAGTAAACGTTTTGCTACATTGTGGATTGTTTGACCTTTGACATCAACCCAGACAGTGTGACCTCCTTTTAATTTGATATTTACGAGCCCCTTCACGGAATGGTGATGCTCTGGGATTTTTCTCTTCTTTTCTAAAAAAAAAAATCGGTCATACTGAATGACGTTTGAAAAAAAATGACGTCCGAGACATAAAATACGATTTATGATGAAACTGTAATGTGCAGATTTAATAATTTTAATGTAGTTTTCAGCGGGGATATCTCCAAAATAAATGGCAAAATAAAAAATCGCAGATGGAATTTTCAAGCATTACATGTGACAGAATTTTTGGCATTCTCGAACATGTCAAGCATTTTTGGTCAAAATTCTCGAACGTCATCAAAATTCTGTCAAATAGGACGTTCGCAACAAACATATTGTACTCATTATACATGTACATTTTTGATGCAGCCAAACTTAAAAATAATTTTCAGTGGTTGAAAGGTATAAGACCTGGCAGATATGCTGGTATAGTGAGAGTGATTATAAACGGTAAAAGAATGAAGACAGCCAAACCTTTCTCATCACTTTCCGTCAATTTTTGCTTTTTTTTCATGATTTATATTATTTACAGTTATTTCTTAGGTGCATTAAAGTACATCAGTTCAAAATTTCTCCTTGCTGTTGAGAGAAGTTTTGAAATCAAGTCTTCTGGTGTAAACACTTAGACGTAAAACTTTAAATGAATTCAACTCCATTTGATTTGCACTGGTAGCCAACCAAATGTCCACCAAATGTACACATTATGCCCAATTATTCCCAAATAATCATTTTTATAAATCTGAAGGTGCTAATTTGTATTTTACATGATCAAAGTAACTCTTTTAGAAGTTTTGAAAAATGACATCTGGAGTTGCATTTTGGTCCATTTTAATGAAGAACATGCTACTGGTAGATCCACAACCGATGCTTTACAGATGTTAGAATTTCAGTAATAGTAACAGTAGCCAGAAATGCCTTTGTGAATCATTTCTCTGAATTCATATCCAGCTTTACATTTATAGCCAACCTGCGTTTTGACCAGATGTCTATTCTACATGTACCAGATCGGTGTGGGGGCAGTTATGACATTTTCCCTTAAAAAGGAGACATGAACAGAAAAATCAAAACTCTCTATTTCATATCACTTGCAATAGAATTGATCAGAGACAGGCCATGTCACACAATCATCATAATCTCCTCTCATAGTGCATCATCTTCAACAGAACATCAATGTTTGAAGCTACTGCCAAACTTTTGTTGCTTTTATGTCAGTTACATGTACAATGAATGAAATTAGCCCAGATAGAAATTTGACATTTGAAGTGGGCCTAAGCAAAGAATACTTGTGGGCCTTCCTTGGTTTAACCTATATCACTCATGCATAAGCTAAGAGCTGGCTGTAAAGCCATCAGTGATTCCCCAATAAACTGTTGGTTAATAGCTCACTAGGGCATGCCAGGAATCATACTACTGTCAATTACACTGAACAAATCAACATCCCATCCCAGCCTACAGACTTGGTTACTCAAGACAGTGGAACAAATAAATAGTCTTTAGTTTTAAACTGGCGTTATGTGAGAATATTGTTTGTGTGTAAAGAAACTGAAATATACAGGTACCACTGTGCATATCAAAGTGATGATTATTTGTAAACATTAGTAGCGTTTTAAGTAAACACATACACTGTACATGTACCTTGGTGAAGTTTTAACCCCTCCCCCAAGCAAAAAGAAAGTTCTAAATGAAAAAAAGAAGTAGAGTTCATGTACCTGGCCAACAATGTAACTCTGCAAGTAGATATCAGGAAGTTTGGCAGCAAAGGCAAAGATTCCTGACTGGTAGACTGCTGCAGCACCTGTAAACATTGGGCACCCCCAAGAAGACACACAGATGGGTAAAATACAGAAAAAAAAAGAGAAATGGCGCTTCTTAATAATGTTCAGAGCTATATTAATGAGGGAATAAATACATTCTTGGCTGGTCTTAAGTGAACATTTCAAGCCAACTCTGGAGAACGTGGCTGAGCCTAGTCTTAAAACATTAGTTTAAGACCAACAAAGTACATATATACGTGTATTCCCATTCATAAATTATACCATTCAGTCAGAAAGTCAAAAGAAGTCAATATATGATGTATTTCCAAGGATTTGTCCAAGAGTTTTACTTTCATTTTTTCGAACACTCTTGTCCATTCTGTGATATGTTCCTTGTGTAGTCCAGAAAAATCTTATATATGACCCGCTCTAGAAAAATGGGTAATAAGTCACCAGATTCAGGCTATGAGTTTTGGTTTTGGCTGGATTCTGTACATCAAAAGCTACAATTTGATACATGAATGACCCTTGTAGTGCGCTGCATTGTGGATATCTATGGACATTTTTATATCCACATTTTTGGATTCAATAAAAGCACTTTTTGAGAAAAAGCTCTTGCATTGTAGCGTTTGGAAACACAATGCCATGTAGGATTTCCTACTGAATCATCAATTTTTCATCTTTATTCATCAGTATCCATGTTTGTAGTCACAAGTTCTAAAAATATAAATCTTATAGAAGCTATTAAAGGAAACAACACAAAATCATGCTTCGAAGACATTTGCCCTCTCCAAATACATGTAGAACAGGCCATAACATATTTTGGCATTGCGCGACTTATTACCCTTTTTTGCAGAGCGGGTCACATACAGACTTGGCACGCGTCACGAGTGGCAAGTTTGCCAGTGCACAGACTCTTGATCAATAGGAATGGATTAAACTGTCTCGTATCCAGGTGCCAGCTTGTTTTTACACAGTGGGCATTATCAAATGTTAAATACACGGTCATGCAGCACCTTGTTGAATAGGGAAACTATTCATACATAAATGCTAGAGCACTAACTTGATATGCAAAGTAATGCCTGCTGGATGCATCCATGTTTATACACAAACCTCCAAGGAAAACTTGACATTGGTACAGCATTTTGCATATCTACAGTAGGTACATGTATGTCTGTATTCTAAAAGGATGAGTCAACAAAGATGACAGCCGTTCACTAAAGAAACCAAATACACTATCAGTAAATGAGCATTTACATACAGGTGTGCTTCACGGAAACAACGTATACAGGTACATGTACATACCAATTGTGCTGCAAAATTGAGTTGAGGCTTTATATAATGGGTTTTGCCCTTACCCAACGTATACACACTGTATACTCAGTGCTTGTCCGAGAGCTTGTGAAAAAAAAGTCACAAGCTTACTCGGGTGGGACTCGAACCCACGACCTCCTGCTTACTAGTGCAGACGTCTTAACCACTCGACCACCAAGCTTGCCGGGGTCGGCTGGCCGGTCAAAGTCAGGTGAAGCAGCGGGTACCGTTGAGACTGTTTAATGAGTCACAACATTGATTCTATCTCATTTTACTATGCTCTACACGTATAAACATGAGCATGAAATAAAATGTCCGCATGCAGAAGTCAACACTTTGGCTAGGGAAGGACAACTTAATGCTCAAGCAATTAGATACAATGTATACTGTTCACATGAGTGGCTACGTGCAGAGCTACTTGTACATGTAGCTCCACCCAGAACAGTTGTCATCTGAACAAACTAAGCTTCACCTCTGGAGATACATGTAGCTTTGGGGCTAGCCAGCTCCACTCAAAACAGTTGTCATCTGAATACAACTTGCAAGTAGTTCCACCATTCGGAGATAGCTTTGGGGCAAGGTACATGCAATATACATGTAGCTCCACCCAGAACAGTTGTCATTTGAACACAGCAAAGCTTCACTTCTGGATAAAATAGATCTCGAGCTAGCCAACCTAATAATATTCAAAACAATCTGCTTGTACATGTATGGAAAACAGATTGAAAGCTATCAGAGCACCTGTTGCCTGGTTCAACTCCCAGGACTAACTGTTCTTCAGCTATACTTCATGCATAAAGCACATGGTTAGAGGAAGAAAGGGAACTCTTCCAGGGATACTGATACGTCGCTCCACTGTACAATGTAGCTGTTACTACATGTACAGTACATGTATATGTATATAGTGGTTTTCAATGTATGAATGGGAGTACAGTGCACATTTGAAACTTCAACACTTGCCTCTACAGGACCTCCAATGAGTTCATTAATTGGATTAGAGCTGCATGTAGGGTACCCATAGTTCTCTGTCTGAACATACCTTACACAGCTCTGTGGAGTAGTCCTACTGCCGTCTACTCATTATACAGGCAATGCATTTTAATCGATGGTTTGAACATCAATTGAAAGAATCTGACCAAACGAATTGACTAATCTCAAGTACCCAGGCATCTCATTCAGAGATGCTCTTAAGAATGTAAACACCCTCCAACTATGCTTGTAACCACTCCTATACAATACCAAGGACAGGGTCAAAGTTAGGGTTGTAAAAATTCCTTCAAGCAATTCTGACCGACATATTTATCATACTGTATGTTCTCAAAAGTGCTTGATTCAAACTTCAAATAGACTGACCTGCCTGGTGTCAACAGTGATTTACATATTTAAATCTTTCATGTATAACAAGCGTTCAGGATTACATTGGGTTGATGGGAATTATACATGCAATGTTACACCAGCAAGCTTTTGAATCTTGAGACAATTCGAACTGGTTTAGATGGTTTAATTAAGTTGTTAGGAATATTGAGTATTTCAGCAAAGCAGTTGTAAATCACCTCTTGGTATTGCCTTCTAAGTACATGTACATGTAGCAAGAGTAATCTCTCAACATGAGTGTACTTGTTTTGATTATTCTCACAGTCTAAAGGTCAACAAGCCTGCATTAATAATAAATTGAGTTTTAAGTACAGACAAACAATATTACAGATAAGACCATATACATGTACTTTACACATAGTCCCATACCCAACACACACACTACAAGATAACTGACTTGTGAAGCTAAGAACAATCCATGGTATGGACTTATGACCATGATATACGATATCAACTCTGTCATCTTCAAAGATGAATTGTTCCCCTGACCTATTCAATAAATCTTTTGGCAAGATTACAGACAAAAGTACAGTAACAGTATTTGGGCAGAACTCTGCTGTTAATGCCAGCTGAAAAACTCTAAAGTTGGGCTTGTTTCATTGATTTCATTTTAGTTCATCTCATGTGACATCAAATTCGCTTTGTTATTACATTCACCCGTCAGGCTTGTAATAAGAGGTATGAACAGGCCTTAAGTTGAAAGCGAGGATGCTGGACTGTTTTGTGAAAACACCTCCCCAGGTTGTTTGCCAAACACTTCACAAATCAAGTCAACAGGCAGGAACCGTAGTGATTTTGATAAATGCACCCACCGGCTCATTTCAATTACGTACCGTTGAAAATGACCACCGTTGCCATGGTTATTCCGAAGAAAGCACCAGGCCCTGCAGACAAAAAGGAAATGAGGGGGAGAAGGCAGAGAGTAAGCGATATGCATAGAGTAAGCGATATGCATAGAGTAAGCGATATGCATAGAGTAAGCGATATGCATAGAGTAAGCGATATGCATAGAGTAAGCGATATGCATAGAGTAAGCGATATGCATAGAGTAAGCGATATGCATGGAGTAAGCGATATGCATGGGCACACAACTGTGAATAATCATGGAATGCTGTCAACCATTCGTGGTCTCCATACATGAACATGACTTTTTCCAACCTAGTTTTAATAAGAAATCAAAACTCGGTGTAAGGAATTTTATATAATACATGTATATCATTAACCCTAACACTCCTCAGTCCTCCAACAGGTGAAGGATTAAGGAGTGTTAGGGTTATAATACTAACTTCCTGTGTACAAACTTACAGGAGTCTTCCTGAACCAATATGGCAAGGAGAAGAAACACATTTTTACATTTGTACGGTCCATGAACCTTTCAAGGGGCAACAAGTCTTATGTAATCATGGCTACCAACTGAATGCGTCTTTCTAAAAAAAATCCTTTAAAATTTACTGGAGAATTGTTGACAGCCTTTAACATACATGTACAAGTACATATACTTACACATGCAAAAGTGGAAAAAGGATTTAATTGTAATGCAAACTAGCATCTGGCAATCTGCAAATGTACACATTCAAGACAAATCAGTACATGTACATTTATCAATACAAATGATTAATAAATCTACACTGAAAAATACAGGTATGTGGCTTCTTTACATGTATTTACATGTGATCAAAGTCTGAAAACATATCAGCAGTACCTTGACATTTCTGAAATTAATCATTTCACAACCACTGTTCTAGTAACCAGACAACAGGCATTCAAATGTGTGTCAACATTCACCTGTTCATACATGTAGGAACTCTGTTTAATTCCAGGTACATGTACATGTACAGTATATGTAGAAATGCTGCGCACATAAATCAGTGCCACGACCTGCTGTGCGTAACTCTACAGTATATATGCTTTTGGTTACTGATAAAACTTCTCAGCAACTCATTGAAATGCCCAGAACCACCTATACTGGTAGCCTACAATCCCATCTCATTGTTAGTTTCTCATATGGTACATGTACATTACTTTTGTTCAAGGAAACACTGTGAATACCGACATGTACATGTACAGTGTATGTACATGTACAGTACATGTATGTAACTGTAACTTCCATGTATATACATGTAAAAATAATAAGCAGTGAATATTGGGATATTGTTGGTGTAAATTGTTATCACATGTATTTTACAAGTACAACCAATCTGTATGGTACATGAACATGTACATGTATGTGCGATTAATAATTTTGAATCAGCATTACATTTCTGGTGCTCCAACTTTCCATGCACATGTACAAACATCGGTAAAATTACTGTTCAATAGACTACAAAAACTTAATTACCTGCTGACATAGAACACACCTCATACAGTCTACATGTTGTGGATTTGTCTGTTATGCCGAGTTAATTTTTAAGCAATATAGATTTTTTTGTGAGATAATCAAACGAAAATCATCTTGTTTAAACTATTGGCAATCCAATGTGCGTCACCTGCATAAGTACATGTACTATGCATGGTTCATGTGCGTATTCCATACACTTCTCAATCTTTAGTTCAGTGCAAAGTAACATGGGATGCATGCAAATCTTTCATTGTACACATTGTAAAATTCTACAAAGTGTATATAATAAAGAGTTACTTCAACCAAAGCATTGTTTCCAGGTTATTTTAGGAGATTACAAGTCTCATCTGAAAATGAATTGTCAGTAATCTTCTCACTCCTACAGTTGTAGATGCCGCTAACTCCAACAGGAGATTTCATGGATGAAATATGCAAATATTGACTGCTTTGAAGTTTGACTAATACAGAAAAACTATCCTTCCCTTTAAAATTCATATGTGCAAGTACATGTATGTGCTCTAACATACATGTACATGTTAGGCAATGTATCATTACATGTACATGTGCACTTAATGCAACAGACAGTATTACCGTACTTTGTAAACTATTGCAGTGGTACACGTTGTACAACTGTATGTTGTTACTAATTTCAGACTGAAATACGTGTCCAGCACCAGCATTTAGGAAATAATTCCTTTGCTTTCAACTCATTTAGACTTGTTCAAGAAAGTTTACCATGGAAATGAACTTTTACTTTATGAAAAAGTCTCTATATCAGAGCTTAAGGGTAACAGCTGCTGACTTGTATCCTGATTCGCCAGTACATGAACTGTACATACATGTACATGTATGTAAGGCAGATGGGCAGGATATCCACACCTGCTGATAGCACTACTACCATTTTGCCCAGGTCATGTACATGTATTGTAAGCAGATGGGCAGGATATCCACACCTGCTGATAGCACTACTACCTTTTTGCCCAGGTCATGTACAAGTATGTAAGGCAGATGGGCAGGATATCCACACCTGCTGATACAGTAGCACTACTACCTTTTTGCCCAGGTAATGTACAAACTTGTATGTAAGGCAGATGGGCAGGATATTCACACCTGCTGATACAGTAGCACTACTACCTTTTTGCCCAGGTCATGTACATGTATGTAAGGCAGATGGGCAGGATATCCACACCTGCTGATAGCACTACTAACTTTTTGCCCAGGTCATGTACATGTATGTAAGGCAGATGGGCAGGATATCCACACCTGCTGATACAGTAGCACTACTACCTTTTTGCCCAGGTACATGTAATGTACAAGTATGTAAGGCAGATGGGCAGGATATCCACACCTGCTGATACAGTAGCACTACTACCTTTTTGCCCAGGTCATGTACATGTATGTAAGGCAGATGATTACACCCAACTTCATTTCCCTGGTACCCTAATAATAAACATTGGTTGCAAAGTATCCCTGTAGGCTATGCACATTGCAGGCTTGACAAAACATCCAAGGTTGACAAGACCTCAGGTATGTAAATGACAACTAAAACCTTTTGTGTGGTGCCACTACGTAAAGACACATACATGTACATGTATCTTTACATACCATTGAGCTTATGGTCAGTAGGCTACTGATGAACATAATCTACTTCTTGAAGTACAATGTACATGTATAATGAAAATCACTAGGTACCCGGTATCTTGTTGGATACAGTAAAGTTTGGGTCAAAGACCAGGCTAGTGCGTGGTGAATTTTGAACTTTCACAGCATGGGTTTTATGTACAAGAACAGAAACTGATAAGCAATGAATACGTCATCATCACATGAGGTCGATATTCCTCTAAAGCAATCCCTTTTCAAGATATCTACAAGACTTGAACCCAATCTGACATCTACTTTAGGAGATATTGTGCCTTAAAGGTTGCACACTTAATGTCACATGACTTATCTCCTGATGACATCATCATTAGATAAGGTCAGCATTTCTTTAAACCACTCCCTTTTCACAATATCTCTAAGATTTGAACCCAATGGCATATCTACTTCAGGAGATACAGGGCCTTGATTTTATATGTATTTTTACAAATTTAAAGGAATATTTATATATTCAAAATTTCATAACAAATCAATCGATGACGTCATCTTTACGTAATTATTTATGTATTATCTTTGCTTTATGGTGAGTGCTTCGTGTAACTTAGATGACGACTGAACATTGCTAAGTCACCAAAACAGTGCCTCGAAAATGTGTAGAAAGTCAATGGGCTGAAATAAATATTGAAAAATTAATAATAAATCACTTGATAATTGTCATCACGACGTCGTGTTTCTAGGACATCTATGCATAAAGGTTCTTCATTGGTATAAGTTTGATGAAGATCCAAAGTTGCAAAAGCACTAAAGTGACCGTCACAAAAAACGTGTACAAAACAAATGGGCTTTTGAGCAGAAGAAGAAGAGGAAGACGCAAAAAAAAAAGAACAAAAAGAATGCCTTTCTCGCAAAATTGCGATAAAGCCAAAACATTGCAAAGAAAATAAATGATAGGAGGGGATAGGGGCAAATACTTACATTCAGAGGAGTCTATGATGGCTAGAATTGTGGTGAGAACAAACAGGGTCAGCATAATGTTCAAAGCAACCATGTTGGCTAAACGAGAAGATCTAGATAACAAAAAAATAATACAAAACAAAATCAGCTTGCATCTCAACACCATTTACCATTCTTACAGTGAAAATGGTTCTGCAGTACGAACGGTCTTCAGTGTGAAACGGCTACAAATGTTCAACATACTCAGAAAAGAAAAAATCAGACACAACCAGTTAACAGTAGTATGTATCAGACAGAACACTTTCATCAATACATGCACATGTACTAGTACCGGTAGAAGGGTCTTGGGGCTACTACCAAGTTCTTTTGTATCCGGTTCGTAAGTGTGACATCACTTCAGTTTAAACCACGCCCACTGCACATGCACTGCACATAAAGTTGTAATGTATTGATTGTCATTTACATGGAATCGGAAGTTCATGCACAACTTCAGCGATTGTCCAATGGAAGCCTGTAAATCGTGGCACGTCTTCCTTTGTGACGACGTCACTTACGAACTGGATTATCCAGAACCTTGTTTTAAACAAGTTTGTTCCTACTTGCACATGTGCATGTATGTGTCAATCGATCGTACCGGTACATGTACATGTTTCGTTGATCAACTGTACCAGTTAACAGTACATGTACAGGTATGAAGTGAATTCTCACAGACATGTTCCATTTGATATAGTAATGAATATATTGCTTTCAAATAATTTGAGCACGTTTTTCATGAAAGTAAAATGTACACATACATGTTGAGGAATAAAGCACTGAGTAAAACTTGTATGATAATTGAGAAAACCAAATAAACCTAATAAACTGCAACACCAGGAAAAAGACTCTTTATTCTTGAACTAATGTCATCCGTACTATCAAGTGATCCATAGCCAGAGTATGTACACGCAATTACACGTACATACATTAAAGTGGTACTAAAAGGCTTCAAACATATCAAGGGTTTTGCAGGTAGATTGGCCACCAAAAAAACAGTAACCAGTGGATTTATCTCCTGAAAATCAACAGGAATAAGAGGCACTTTCTTTCCACAACCAACTGGGTTGATTTCGGAAACAAGCGAGATCAAATTTTGTGTATGTGTTGGATTGATGACATCATGGAGAGAAAGGCACAGCAGGCATGCATGAAGCATTTCGAAAACCAAAAATATCAACTCTAAGTACTCCCCGAGATATCTCCTACTGACTTGTGTATGAGATCCTAAACATTTCTGAAGATATCCCTGTCAATTCTCGTCAAAAAATATTTTGGTTACTTGCAAAATTGTTACTTTGTAAACAAAAAACTTTGCGCAACTTCCAACGTTCGCCAGAGTCGGGATCATATTGCAAGCCTGCATGCAAGTTCCCGCCATTCTTTCATCGTCGAGAAATTTCGTGCGAAGTTTCGATTACTCGCACCTTACGCTGTGACAAAAAAATACGGGATGCGGGTTTCTTCTCAAAACATGAAGGTAAAATTTCCCAGAACTCAGGAAAACAATAGCTGCTTAAAACTCACAAATAAAAATGAGCGTAATGGAAGAAAGGAAACATTTTTCCCCTTTGAATCGGAAACGCTCGTCGTCGAGCTGGAAGTCGCCATTTTTCTTTTGGCGAGTTCACCTGTATGCTAATGTCCGTTAGCGATGTCATGATACGCTGGCCTAGCAGTCCATTCACAGCGTGCTGTGTCAAGTCAGTACATGTGTGCCGGCGACTGTCTTGTGAGCGGTAGAACGTTCGGTGACAGTGACCACATGGAAACACTGCAATGTTACGCCTCTCTGGAAACAGTCACCGCCACGCGTGGGCCACGCCAACTCAGCATGCTGGTGCTACTTTGTGAATGGTCCACTAGGCCGGTGCGCTGTGACGTCATCAACAACATTAGCATACAGCTCAAATCACAAAATTGAACGTGGGGATTTTGTTGAACTTTTTGGCATAGATGCTTCGTGACATCAAACTTTCTTCACATTTTACTTGAATGAAAATGTGAACCGGCATCTAAGTACACGTGTCTCTGCAACTCTGAATTCTTTGAATTTTCTTCATTATCCAGTAAAGACTGAAGTTATGTTTTTACATGTAACTTTCAAGTAGGCCATTGGGTGCATGACAAGTTAGACAGTCCAACCTCGTTAATAACAGCACTTTAAATACAAGATTCTCCTTTAACAAGAATTCTTTTTTATGCCCCAATCCTAAGTTTTTTTTACATTTTCATTTAAAAAGGATTCGTTTTTTATTCACAAATGTTGAACCCACTGCAATATGTGCAATGTTTGGTGACAATTGTAATGCTTTATGACCTCAAAATTGCCTCACATTAATTCCCATTCATCGGAAATATGGACAGGTTTTAGAGTATATTTGTATCCCTAATTAATCTGAGATCACTATTCATTGACTGCAGACATGAAAATGTTGTTGCCATTGTTAACAAAATCTAATGCAGTTCCCAGTGTAAATTAATGTTTGTATGGCGACAGTTTTCCCACGTGTAACAGAGAAACCGGTTTCTCTGTTACACGTGAAATGAGTCATAAAGCTCTTTAAACTAAAAACTTCAAAACACTTCATGTTTCTGGCAAAGGTGCACAAGCTAAATGGTATAATGGCTATAAGCTGTGCCATACATGTATATTTGCTATTTAAGCAACTCTGTGTTACACCAAACAAAACTTTCCAAAATAATTCAAAAAACAGCCAAAAAGTGAATTTTGGGGGAAAATGTTTGCCCATTTTTATGCTGCCTGAAACCCTATTAAGAAAAAAACAACCAGTGATGAGAATATATGGTATGTACACAAAACCAAATTGGCAACAGTTGAAAAGAAACCTTTACTAACCAAAAATGACATGCATAGAACCATCATATTTGGTTTCTTTGTTATATGTCAAATAATTTGCTGCACCACTGCACAAATTGAGTCTGTACACGTCAAGTAGTTATTCAAAGCAAAAATCATTTCCATTTATTGCATGTATGTATTATCAATTACGTATCAACAAGTTTTGAATTTGATCAGACAATTTTGAAATTATGACCACCATGTCACACATTTGGCCCCCTATTTATGACAAAGAGAGGGTACCTTAACCTTTTCATTATGTCTAACACTCCTGTAATAAATCAGTGCATTGATGACACTTTTACTCTGGACATGTACATGTATGAGTAGGCTTTTACTTACTTGGGAGGTACAAACAAACTGACTGCCAGGAAGAAAACATTGGGAATGAATCCTGCTATGCCAATGTAGCTCACAAACTTGTCCTTGTACTCAGCATTGTCACTGACATTGCCAAACTTGTAGTCTGTAAAATACTGAAAAACAAATTTGGAAAGATGCATTATTCACCTTAGGCATTATGCATCCGTCAGGTTTTTGAAATGTCTTATCTCATACCACAACAGTCAACAACTGCTTTCTCTTATCTCTGTCTTGATATTTTTCTAAAGGAAATTATAGGCGACAAAAGAATCTTTAAAGATCATTGGTTTGCAGTCCCTAGTCGTCCCTCCATTTCCTGTACATCAGGGTCATGCAGGTGTGCGTGTGTATGCAATGCGTCAACAATACAACCCTGACTGATGTGATGTCTAATGGCAAGTACCAGTATGATGTGGTTACGTCACCCTGCTACCTGATGCATTTAGTTCTAGGCCAATGAAAATACAGTATTCACTACAGAGGTACAAAAGGAAAGAATTCATTATGACAAGTAATAAATCAATTGAAATGCATGCAACTCAATGAGAATCAAAGTACCGGCAAATTTTATTTTTGTGATCTGTTTGGCCAAGACAAGTACATGTACAGTATCAGTATAGAAAGCTTACAAAATTATAAGGGATCTGTTGAAGTTCAGGTTACCTGCACCAAGGAGTGTCCATGAAGGGGGAAGAATACAGTACATACACATTGTACCTGTACTGGTACATTCCATGAGGTTGGGGCACAATTTGTGAAAGCGTCCTTGTTACAACCTAAACTTTTACCACCTGTCATGACCTGTAGAGTAGGCCCTTTACTCTGTAAAAATAACACACACCTCTGTATTCAGCCTTGAAAAATGTATTGGAATCCACATGTAGGGAAATAATGTAGCTGTTCATTTCTTATGGAACCCATGTACATGTAACAACTAACACGGTCACAAATTGGTGTGACCTCATGGAATAACCCATATGCAAATGCACACAAGTGTGGAACAAACCTGACACAATACAAAAAAGTACATGTAAATCCTTACTCCTTCAGAAACATTTTATTTCAACACATGTTCTGCCAGATTCTAAAATACAATCTTTCCTTTTCTTCCCACAATGTATAATGTACATGTACCTTAGATAGTGCCCATATGCAACATTGTATTCAAAGTGTCATACATGTACCCAGTACCAACATACATGTACATGTACAATGTACATGTAACCTGCACTACATGTACGAGTAAATGTCCATGCACCATGTGAGCCACAACCCTGCAGAAACTGGACTTGCACCCCTCTCTGGTAGTACTAGGAAACTGGAAGTTGCTTAGTGACCATAACCATAGTGAACTCACTCTGAAGTTATTACCTTGTTCAACCTGGTGAACTTGAACCTATTTCTGAGAGGCTGGTCTTAATACAATCCAAAGCAACAGGTGAATCAAAGGTCACTACCCACCTGCAGCTTTCAAGGGTTCTTCCAACAGTGGATCACATACATGTACCTCTGAATTTTGGAAGCACTCATCAGTACTGCATTCAATTTACTTCATTTAATTAATGGACAAGTTTATGTACACATACCATAAATTTTAGAGCAATTTTAGAGTAATTTTAGACCATGGTATGACAGTAATGTTATCACTGGTCATTCACAGTGGTCCCTGCACTGTCCACCTTCATACTGTTACCTGGTAACATGTAAGCTTGGACGATGTACTGTACACGTACATGTACATGTACATGCACCGGTATATGCGGGTCTTTATTTTAATATGGGGGCTAATGTGTATTTCAGGGACATCACAATTATACAAGACCAGTTTCACTTTCCCATTTAATTTTCATATGTATTTGTCAATTAATATGTGTTGATTACATTAAATTCATTTACATTAAAAAAATGTAGATTTACACAATAATTACAAGGGAAAAACCTCATCGTTTCTCACTGTTTTTTTGGTATTTAGTGTGACATTTTTGATGACCTGTTTCATACAGTATGACATTTCATACATGTACCACTGGCAAAACAAATATATTGTTTATTTTCTAACTATCCTATCAACAGAGAGGTAAATTATGATATCGGATATCATGCGCCGGCGACTGTCTTGCGAGCGGCCGAATGTTCGGTGACAGTGACCGCATGGAAATAGTGCAATGCATATTACGCCTCTCTGGAAACAGTAACCGGTGCGCGTGGGTCGTGCCGACTCGGCATGCTGGCGCTATTTTGTGAATACAAATGTGACCTGGTATCTAAGTACATATATCTCTGCAACTCTGAATTCTTTGAAATTTTCTTCATTAAGTTATGTTTTTAACTTCCAAGTAGGCCAGTGGGTGCATGACAAGTTTTTATAAGCCTACCCGTTCAGTCATGACAGTCCAATCTCATTAATAACAGCACTTTAAATACAAGATTCTCCTTTAACAAGAATTCTTTTTTATGCCCCAATCCTTAGTTTTTCTACATTTTCATTATAAAAGGATTCGTTTTTTATTCACAAATGTTGAACCCACTGCAATATGTGCAATGTTTGGTGAGAGTTGTAATGCTTTATGACCTCAAAATTGCTTCGCATTAATTCCCATTCATCGGAAATATGGAGAGGTTTTAGAGTATATTTGTATCCCTAATTAATCTGAGATCACTATTCATTGACTCCAGACATGAAATGTTACCATTGTTACAACAAAATCTAATGCAGTTCCCAGTGTAAATTAATGTTTGTATGGCGACAGTTTTCCCACGTGTAACAGAGAAACCGGTTTCTCTGTTACAAGTGAAATGAGTCATAAAGCTCTTTAAACTAAAAACTTCAAAACACTTAGTGTTTCTCGTAAAGGTGCACAAGCTAAATGGCATAATGGCTATAAGCTGTGCCATACATGTATATTTGCTATTTAAGCAACTCTGTGTTAAACTAAACAAAACTTTCCAAACAATTTTAAAAATAGCCAAAAAGTGAATTTTGGGGGAAAATGTTGGCCCATTTTTATGCTGCCTGAAACCTTATCAAGAAAAAAACAACTAGTGATGAGAGTATATGGTACGTACACAAAACCAAATTGGCAACAGTTGAAAAGAAACCTTTACTCACCAAAATGACATGCATATAACCATCATATTTGGTTTTTCTGTTACACATCAAATAATTTGCTGCACCACTGCACAAACCGAGTCTGTGTACACATGTCAAGCACTGTACATGTACATGTAGTTACTGTATTCAAAGCAAAAATCATTTCCATTTATTGCATGTATGTATTATCAATTACATATCAACAAGTTTTGAATTTGTTTCTAAGACAATTTTGAAATTTTGATTACCATGTCACACATTGTCACACTGGTACCAGCCCAGTTTTCTGCATTTTAATCAATCAGTGCAATGTACATGTACATGTTTTTGAATCACTCTACAGACAGGTACCGGTATCATTTGCATTTCAAATAACATTTTGTTGCTTCACTTGTTCATGGATCACTTGCATTTTGATGTCCTTATGGTAATGTCAGAAATTTATGATATTTATTCATGGTGATTTGGAGAGACTCACAAAAATATTTAGAGGCAACTGACTACTGCAATTCAAAAACAATTAGCCTATGCTTAGGCCAAGAAAACAAAAAAAACCCAGTTCTGCTCCGATTAAATGCCTCTCAAAAATAGGGTTGGTACATGTAAGTTGGAAATGGGGGGTCAATTTTTTTGCACTGATTGAATGGCATGAATGGTGACAAAAGCTTCCAAAAACTGCCACAGTCGACAGTTTATAAGAATTATGGACAATTCACACCACTATGCACAACACCAGTCAAGTCATCATGACGGGAAACTGGCCAACAATGTCTATGTATCGTGTGGTAAGCATGCGTGATGAACTCAGACAGATGGGCGATAAAACCTCGTGCTGCGGGCAGAAAATTTTATGGACACACGATCGTTTCAAGCACAAGCAAAAAACAATCTCAAATTAAACTTCTGAACACAGAAAATACATACATGTACATAGTCAAGAGACTGAATTCTGTGAATTAACTTGCAGAAACCTTCCTGCAACATCAGTGTTTTTTTCGACCTGCAGCTGTGGGGTTGAATGCGTGTACAGAAGATGTAGTGTAATGGCGTTGTTTGGACAGGATACCAGATCCGTATAGACTGGTCGCCATGGCGCGGCTGGAACCAGCGCAGTATTGCTGTAATGCATTGAGTTTCGCATATGTGTTTTTACCACTGCCACAGCGAAACACGAAGGGAACTAGTGAATATAATGGAAGGTTCTTTTTGAAAGTTGCACATTAACATATACATGGAAGTATATAAAAAAAGGAAAACATATAAAAACAAGCATTTTAACTTAAAAAAGGTAGTTAAGAAGTGTTTTGTGAAGACAGAAAAAAACAGGATTTATTTTAAGAATTTGTATTTCTAACTTGCTGATAAAAATTTTAGGGTCTTGCCACAAAATAACGGTCAGTCTGGAAATCAGGAGCACAAGTACATGTATTTTGTTGGGAGGGGGCCCTTACATAGGAATAAACACATGTACAGGGTGTTGGTATGTACTGGATCAGGAGAATGGATGCTGACATTGGCAACATTCCTTCCCTTAAGCAAATCTTTATCATTTAAGACTGGCCAAAGCATATATTGTTCCAATACATTGAGTCACTAAGGCAAAACAAACTTGAAAATTACTAATTTCTGACAATTTTGTTCACCAGCTTCACCCCATTTTTTTCCCAGACTGCCCTCCAGCAGCCATGTTATGGTACGGTACATTACAGTAAGGGTATGTTTCAGGGCAGCAACTTTGATCTTGTAGGGGAAAGGCAATTTCTCCTTTGCAAAGAGACCTTGTAGTAATCAGATATAGAAACCTCAATTGGTATGGGAAATTTGTAATGGGTATCAATGCAATTCTTCTTCCTGAAATGCCTGCCCTGATGTCCCCCTCGCTGATTGCAAATATGAAGATTGGTTTGTGAGGAAGAGGCACACAGCCAACCAGTGCTTTGACCATGGAGGTAGAATGCTTTCACCTACAGGTGATGGGCTCTCGACCAGTGTACATGTAGTGTGGATGGGTGCCGGCAGGGTAATAAGGAAAGAACTCTAAGTCAACATTGTGGTTCTCATGCAGCTGTCCATCATTTTTAAGGAGTGCGATCACACAGGTGCTCCTACTGCACTCCTAAACACTCCTAAAGGAGCATAAAAATTTGCTCTCTTCAAAAAATCTGAGGGCACTTTAAAAATAATGAACAATAAAAAAAACAGTGGATAACATCTCCAAAAAAGGACTTTGTGATTCGTTTGTAACTTACAATTCCACATTTATCCTGCTGCGACTTTCATACGAAGGCCTATAATTATTGTACGAATATATCGTTGCGAGTGCGGCCTGCTTCCGAGCATGCACACTGTACATAATTATGCTTGCATGTGCATGTATGTCACGCACAGTTTTGCGGCACATGCACGTGGTACCATCTGTTACATGTTGATCAGTAAAAGTTTTCAGTGACAAGAAAGCCAATCAGTACCGATCCTCGTTACGGGGCGCTTAAGCAGAAAGCAGTGTGCCCATACCGGTATGACTATGGGTTTGCCACAAGCTTTTGGTTGTTATAAAAACGTTTCTCCGTGCATACATACAACATGTGCCCATTGAATTCACACAGGAAATCCCCCAGTGTGGTGGACCATAATCACACATAAATACTGTCACGTTCGCACATGTGTGTAGCCTTGACGTTTCCAATATTGATTGAGGTGGGTTTGTTACAGGCATCAATTAAACAAAGTTGAAGTGCAGTTTAAACTTTCAAATCCTCTTTAGGCTTTGTTCCAAAATTATGGTCACTGTTAACATTTCAAGTGAAAGAAATGCTCAAATCAGGATGAAAAGGTTCCCTTCCAGTTTTATTTAAATTGAAGGAACAGTATATACCGGTACTGTACATAAACATGTAACGGTACAACTGTGTTGATTTGTACTGCAAGTTGAAACTTACATGTACTTGTACATATACACTGTAATGTTAGTTACCGTAAATAGTGTATTTTTAATTCTCAAGCATAAAAATTCAGGTTCATATAGAAAACAAGCACTGAGATGATTTACATGTTTGTTTCATAAACCTGTGTTTCTCACTGAACTAAAACTAAATTAGTTTTGAAACTGCCCCAAGAACATTATACATGTAAACTGTCAGAAAAAGTGAAAACAATACAACCCCAGGGTTTCAACAATCGTGTGACCTTGTTTACCGGTAGTACTTTATTGATTATTTTAAGGAAAGCAATTTGCTCTCCTGAGAGACTTGAGGAGAGCGATTTATAGCTCTCCTAAAGTTTCTTAAAATAATGGACTGATGCATTTGGTACACAAACATGAACAACCTCTTCAACTGTGACAGGGTGTTGTAACATGGCAAAATGTATGCATACTGGTACTTCCAAGTTTAAATACGTTCACGTATGATTGTGATGCCACAGCATTAATGGCTTCTCTCTAGTCTTCAGCAGTTAGCTTACATGTCAGCTGGTTTCTAAGGAGAAGCTTGTCAAATACTGCATGTATACTCACTGCGTCAGCGGTGATGAACATGTTCCAGGGCAGCAGGGTGGCGATACCATGGATGGCCATTAACATGAAGATAAACCTGAATCTGTACAAAAGAATCAGACAATGGTTCACATTCATACACATGGTAACCGTAGTATACTTCTTGACCCTACACATGCATACACATGGTACCCGTAGTACAT